CTATAATTTTTATAACTGGGAAATTGGCTGTTCAAGCTATTCTGTCATTACTAGGAGCCAATACAGTAAGTCCTCACTTAATGTCATCATAGTTCTTGGAACTGCTGCAAAATAATGTGTAATGAAACCAATTTCACCAGAGGCCAGATATTTTCAGCCTTTTCAACTCATGGCACACATAACTGAATCATTAATATTCTGAGGCAGCCCTAAATGGTTTGGCTCAGTGGATAGAGCATCGGTCTGCGGACTGAAGAGCCCCAGGTTCAATTCCAGTTAAGGGCATGTATCTTGGTTGCCAGCACATCCCCAGGGCAGGGGGTGTGTGTGTGTGTGTGTGTGTGTGTGTGCAGGAGGCAGCTGATAGATGTTTCTCTCTCATAGATGTTTCTCTCTATTCCTCTCCCTTCCTCTCTGTAAAAAATCAATGAAATATATATTTTTTTAAATTCCGTGGCATACCAAAACATATTTTTTTCAATCTGACCAAAAAATGGGTATAATTTTGGTTCATTCACACAGGATGGCTGTTACTGTGTAGGCTTGTTGTCATTTTTTTAAATTATTATTTACAATATAAGGGAAAAGAGGACAGTGTCCCTAACTAAATTGCATGTTTTAAAAATTCTTGCAGCATACCAATTGAAAATCATTGCCATGGGCTAATTGATATAAACAAGAGTTAAGTTCCACAGCATCTCATCAATGCTGTAACAAAATGATGCTGAACAAAATGATGTTATTTGAGGACCTGCTGTGCTGTAAGAAGAGAACTAGTACCTCTATTTTATGTTTCAGACTACCTACTGTGAGGTTTATGAAGTGCGTGTCCACCTTAGCATTCAGTGGTGCATAAATATTTCACTAACAGTAAGTCTTTGTCCAAAATACTCTCAGTGAAAAAACTGATTTCCGCTAGTCCTAACAATTTTTAGAAAAAAAATTAGTTTATTCAAAAGCTTATGAAAATATCTCTTTAACAGATAATGCTAAATTCCATCTCTAGATCATATTCTAAAATAGCAAACTCTTGCTCAGGATATCAATACCTGCAAATAATAATGGCCAAAAATAATGACAAACTTTGAAATCTCATGTAGGGAAATGGTTAAATTTTTGTTAAAAGTCCATAATGTTGAGTACATGTTGAAAGGCACGTAGTTAGAAGGTTGGATCCCAGAGAAAGATTTCAGACCTCATTATTATCTACAGGAAAGGTGGTTCCTACACATGCCAGCTTTAATATTAGTAGTTAATAACTTTTATGTCATTATATTGGAGTTTTTCAATATTCTAGGCAGCAGACCAACAAAAGTAAACCCTGCCAGCAAAAATTTTGCTTCTGGTTTTTTTTGGCAATACTTTGTACAACACCCAAAAGAAAACTATATTAAAAACTCAAAACAACTTTGGCACCAAATACCATGTAAAAGTATTACTTTTATTTTAAGAGACCTGTGTATCTTCTAAAAATGCCTTCTCGCCAAAACCGGTTTGGTTCAGTGGTAGAGCGTCGGTCTGCGGACTGAAAGGTCCCAGGTTCGATTCCGGTCAAGGGCATGTACCTTGGTTGCGGGCACATCCCCGGTAGGGGGTGTGCAAGAGGCAGCTGGTCAATGTTTCTCTCTCATCGACATTTCTAGCTCTCTATCTCTCTCCCTTCCTCTCTGTAAAAAATCCATAAAATATATTTTTTAAATAAATAAATAAATAAATAAATAAATAAATAAATAAAAATGCATTCTCTCCTAAACAAGGTTAAAAAAAAAAAAAAAAGTAATGATGTTAAAACACACGCACACACCAAGTGGACATAATATGGACACGACTCTCTGGCTGAAGTAGAGGATGTATCAGTCTGGGGAGCAGGGCCACTGTACACAGTTATGTCGCTGGGGAAAGTGAAGACTGGAAGGGCAAGCTGAAGGATCAGAACAGACATCCTTGACTAGTCAACCTGGCTCGATCAGCACATCCAGCCATTAAAATTAGACCTTCAGGGGAAAGCCATGAGAACAGTTATTTCTGTGTAGCCACTGTCTCGGCCAAGTGTCCAGTAATGAACTGGAGCTAGTGATACTCAATGGTTCTAGCATTCAGGAACACCACGAGATGGCAAGGAGAGGTTGCTACCCACCAAGCATTTCTGTGACAGTAAAAAAGAAGAGAGAAATAGATTCTGCTACTTCAGCCTTCTAAATTTCAGACATATGGTTCTTTCGGCCAATCTAACCAAGATAAATAGTTCCCAATTTAACCAAACTGACACAGCGACATCTACCACAGATGAGTGGCACCTAATTCAGATTTACACGGGAAAACTTTCATTAATTCTTCTGCTTAACACAAGAGACAGTTTGCAAAAAAAGGTGTAAGTAAAGTTATATAAATGTTAAAATTCATTTTCCTTCATGATAAAGTATATCCTAAGAGTATCTCACTCTACTCTGCCCATCATTCTGCAATTTTTCTAAAGTAAAAGAGTGTCAAACAAGAGTTGAAGTTCTTAGCTCTGCCCAGGAAATCGATTTTGTTTTGGCCATGAACCGCTAAGCTACCACCCAGATGCTACTGCATACACTACCCAAATTTAAGACCAAATGGCAAAGTGTGGACAAAATATACTTTATCATTTGATTCTGGATGAACCCGTAACTCCTGGGATTTCCGTTAGCATTCAGGTGAACCGGAAAGTTTTTCATTTTGAAGCTATTTATTTGCTCTAAATAATGTATCTCTTTGCTAGGCGCACATAGAGATCATGTGATCATGGAATTGCTTGGAAATTGACAGCTCTGTCATCCCTGGAGAAGGATGAATTAGAATTGCCTGGGTATTGGTGCCTGTCAGCATTTGCCTCATATAAAGCCTAGAAACTGCTGGTCACTTATGCATATCTTCAGTATCCAGCTGTGTAACTTCTCAATGTCCTGATAGCTCCTGCCCTCTCCCACCTGCCTTCCAGAAGTCAGTACCTAGCTTGATTTGCAAAAAAGAAGAAGAGACAAATACGGTGTACTGTGTCTCTCAGTTCATTTCTGTTTATTTTTTAAAAGCAGGTTTTCTTGCCAAAGTCTGTAACAAAGAGATCAGGGGTTTTAGAACATAAAAGAAAAAGCCCTTGGCAATTCCAAGAGGCCTCCGGCCCATGACAGAATAAGTGTTTCCATTGTATGCCTCTTCCCACACATTCCATTCCCCACCTTGAACTTTCCCACCAGAAAAGCACACAGAAGAGATTTCCAGTAATCTACCAGACTGAAAAAAAAAATGTTTCCCAGGATTTATTCAATAACATGAACTCAGGACAAACCACCAGAAGAAAGTAACAACCCTATTGTGTTTACTATCCTCTTTCCAGCCTGATTCTGTATCCTGTTTGCCTCATCGGTTTGTCTTCTCTTTTTCTTACAGACACTAACAATTGCAAGGCTCAGAGTCCAGTAGTAGAATTTGATATTTTATAAATGGCTTCCCAAATAATGAATTATAATTTTGATGCTGGACAGAAAAAACAGGGCACTGAACTAACCTCCATTGAGGAGGGGACCAGAGGGCAGGAAAGTGAACATTTATCTAATATCTGAGGAATATGTAACAAGATAAGAAGGCAGTCAAGTTCTAGAAAGGAGGAAACATTTATTGGAGCTCCAGCCTCACTGTTTCAGGGCTTAATTCTCCAGCAAAAACTGCTAAAAATGATTCTTTAATGTGAGGATTGTGAAATAATATTCAAATTTTTGTCTAAAATATAGCTATCATATCTTCATAACAAATTCTTTCATTAATCTAGCTCAGCAAGATTTACTAGTAGGCTATAAAATAGAATATTTGGATTAAAAAATACACAAAGAAATTTATAGTAGCATAACATTTATAGAATTAATGATGAAATACAGGCAAATTCCTATGCTTCATATTCATTATTTTAAGAAGACAATATAAACCATGGCTGATTATTCATATCATTAAGATGGATTCTAATTTATATAATCTCATTTTAAAATAGAACCAGGTAGTCAAGATTGAATGGTAATTTAATGTATGTATGTGATTCAGTACCCTCTGTCCAAATTATGTGGTATTTTTCTATTATAAATGTCAATATTCATATTACTATTATCTCACATTTGCTGATTGTCTAATATCGACCAAGCACTGGGCTAGTCTAACTTATATTTCATTGGGAAGTTTTGGACAAGAATAATACCTGACAATAACTGTATGGTAGTAAAATTTACATAGGTACAAAAATGTTTCCAAAACATGAAAAACAAAGGCAATCTAGTATAATCTAAACATGAATAAATTACCTGATGTTTTCAAAGAATTTACCTTTTAAAATGTGATTAACAAAATGTCTACACAGCTGTGCAGAAAATGTATCATAAAATGCCTGAGATTGCTGAACTTAGAAACACCTGTTAACCAGGTGGGCCCACAGCCAGCACGTGAGAAACTGGTTCTTGGAATATTCCTGAAGAGTTAACTGATAAGGGTGGCTCTCTGTGCCTAGAGTGTTTGCATAAACAATGTGGTTTACGTTAAACCCCTGCTTTCCTCTGGGAATCTGGATTTTATTTTTATGTGGGAGGTAGGCAGGATGTCTACATGACCAATCCCAACAAATGCCTTGGACACCAAGTCTCTGATGGGCTTCCTTGGAGAGAAACAGCATAACATGTTCTTTTTTTCTTTTTCTTTTTTGCTGGGGGGAAAGGAGATAAGAGGTATTGGTACTACCCTTTAGAGGAGGGAGAGAGTATCCTGCACAAGGGTTTAGGGAAGGGAGAGAATCCTGCACAAGGATTCTCTCAGAATCTGACTATGTCTCTTTCTCACAGGATCCAGCTGTGCATCCTCATTACTTCACTTTAATCAATGTAAACCATGAGTACAACTATAGACTGAGACCCACGAGTTCTAGAAAATATCCAAATATAGGCATGGTCTTAAGCACCTGCAACGCAGAAGCTTTCTCAAAATGCCAGAATTCTTACCTGCTGATATGCTGCATAGATGACATCATATAGAAAAGCCTGGGGCATTTCGCTTGCTCTGTGTCTGGCACGTTCCAGTGAGTGGTCTAAGCATCCATCTGCAGATGGGCTGATGACAGTGGATACAAGAGGGCGAATTGCTCCTGCTGCCTAAATAACAAACAGAGGCAAGCAAGACATGGTTTCACCAAGAAAATATTTTGAAGTCAAACTCTAAACTCTATATCTTATTTTTGAAAGTAGATGTTATTCATACCTTCAACAAACTACCTCAAGAAAATATTTGAACAAGTATTCATTTGGTTCATAAATCAAATCATGTCACACCAAAAACCAATCTCATAATATTACAGTTCATATATAAGAGGTAGAAAATTTTCTTCATCATAGGCTAAAAATCCTTTTTATACAGGTCATTGAAGTCAAATACTAAATATGGATGCAATGATATAAGTGGGTATTCCCTAAAGATGGAAGAGAGAGAAAGACTATATGAAAGAACTGAAATGAATTACTAGTTAGTATGCTTTCAAAAGATTTAATTTACACATTCGAAAATTAAGGAAATAGACATATTCCCTAAGATCCCCAAAATGAGACTCAACAATCCACGTAACAATGAATTTATGTTTTGCTCTAATTCCTGTGAAAAACAGTTCTCTTCTAACAATGCTCCATAGGGAAAATATCCATTAATATCAATTGCTCTGATAAAAGCTCTGTTTCATTAATAGAGGTATCTAAATTTTTTTTTTTTAAAAAAACAGCTTCCTATCTGACAATTTTTGCCTCTAGCTTTAATACAGTGTCTTTGTAATATAGACTTAGAGGTCATTACCAAACAGCTGTCTTGGAGAAGTTGCCTTAAAATATGGTTTCTATGGTAGGCAATTCAACCAAACCTCCTCATATGTAATCCAAAATGTCCTATCTCCCACATAATTGCTACATGGAATTTGCAGCACATGAAGCTAATATACAAATACAACACATTTGGCCTGAAGAACCACATCGGAGCAAGAAAGATAGTCTGTGAACTAGTTTACAGAAGCCAACAGACTGGCTAAAAATCAAAGCTAATGTATGAGCCATGTAGACAGTTTTAAAACTGCATCACCGTTTCCAGTGACGCAGTAAAAATTTGGACCCGAGGTATAAAAATGACATCATCTGAGGGTGACAGGGAGGAAGGAATGTCCAAGTAGGTGAAAGGTAGGTAAGGAACAAGCCCAACTGGTCAAGCCTATCAGTAGGGGTCAGAAGACAAAACAGGAAAGAAACACATGTGCATACATGTATATACATACACTGCTTTTTAAGAAAAAAAATTAAATTTCCATTGCAACTTCTTATAGCTAATTTTATTCCAGGCCATGACATAAAAATTTATTTAAAAAATAACATGATACATACAAGTATCAACATGTGAAGCTCAGCAGATTCTCTCCTGAGCAAATTATAAATAGTGAAAAGTATTTAAAAAAAAAAAAAAAAAAAACATAAAACATGGAAAAGCCATTGAAAATTGTCCTACGGGCATTCAGCCAATTAGGAAACTTTATTCAAGAAAACCTTCTAAATCTTGGTGAGACCAGAGAGAGCCTATGGTGCTTTAGTCATATCCATTTCTTCTCTCATTCCACACCCAGTTTAGTATGGCTGAAGTTCCTCGTAGCATAGGTATGGCCAAAAAATGGGACTCCTCTCCCCCTAGTTCCCAGTGGGAGAAGCAGAGTGTTAACATTTCCCATCTCACCCAGCTCCATGTTTCCCACGGAAGCTAAATATCAGGCAAGTCTGCCAACAGGTTAGAGACACTCACCTATAGGGTAAGGATCATACTGAGGTGCAATGAAACAGAAGTTGTTTTTTTTTCTATAGTTATTGCTATACATAAAACAGTGAGCATGAATGAATGAACTATAGCTGCAGATTCACATGCATACATTTCCCAAAACATATTGTGCCAAAGAAAAGCTCTCAAGATATATGCAAAACATAAGATTTAGAATACCATACAAATATATGTTAATTATATGTCAATTATACCTCAAAAAATAAAATTTAAATACCAATCATATGAACACAACAAATGCTACAAAACTGAAGAAAAAAGCAAGAGAGCAATAAAAAACAAGTTCAAGGTAGTGTTACCCGTCTGGGAGGAGTAATAAGATCAGGGACACAGTTTCAAACTTACTAACGTTTGATTCGTTATACCAAGTGACAGATCTGAAGGTGTCCAAGGTGTTCTGTATGTTTTCAGAGTCCACAAATACAAATTTCTAAAATGTGTATTTGTGGACTCTCGGTCTTTATTATTAAAAACTAACTTCTTGAGACCAAAAATTATACATATTTGAGATGCCATCGCAGAGTGGATGAATTCTAAGAATTAGTAAGTCCTCACCTATGGAATCCAAAATATTATTTAGAAAGTAGTACAATATGAAGACAATAGGAAATACAGACAATTACCAGCTTCCGGGATTTTAATAAATAAAAGGCCCAGAAAAAGGGCCACAAGTGAAAATAACTCTTTTGTTGACCTTTCTTTCCTCTGACTGGTATAAACAGTATAGAAGAAAGATGCTAATGCTAATAAACATGTACTCTATATCTAGTTCCCTGGTAAGGGACATTTGTTTAGAAATAAACATGCAATGAGTTCTCAATTATATATGATCTTTTCTGAAACTCAACACATCAAATTATGACACAAGCATGGACAAAGACGGTTAGTTGCCTCCCAAAGGCAGCGACCTGGGGAGCCTGTTATATGAGGTATGATTCCCAAGTGATCAAATACACTGTCTCCTTGGGAATTAGTATAATAAGCCTGAATGGAAGCTTAGAACCACAGTTAACCTCTCAGGCTAACCTATCATAGTATTTCCACATGTCAACGCATGGAAATCATCATAGATATCAATCATGCAATGTGGAAATAATGAACCCCACCTCTACTGTTCACTTTTCAAAGCAAAATTGAACAATGCTAATCATCCATCCACACAGCAGGTGCGAACAGGCATTACTCCTCAGGCATCTGCATTCAAGCTAATTATGACAATGTATATCAGAAATCCGCCGACCTTGTAATTACAATTTCAGTTGGCTGGTTTGTCTTTATTGAAACACTTCTTAATATTTACAGAATAAGATCTTCAAAGCTAATCATTAGCAATTATAATATTTTGAATATTTTCTAACAGAATACTTCCAAACCTCCTTTTTGACAAACTAAAAGAATCTATAATTTTTTCAATATAGAGATATAGGTATTTTAGAAAAACCTCTGTCCAAGTTACTATATCGCTGCAAAATACCCCTAAAAGTAAATACATAGCAGAAAGGAATAAGGAATTCTCCATTTTACACACTACTAAATTTTAATTCCTGGAAGCAAAGCTAGTAACATTTACCTTAAATCTAATATGACCAGGTATGCCACACTTGGATATGTACGTAATAAGCTTTATTTCATTTTAATCCCTGGATATACTCATCTTGCCTTGATCTACCCCTTCTCCAGCTTCATTTTAAGGCAATTCATTGAACAGATATAGAGGGGATGGTAATTTCAAATAATGCAGAAAAAAAAAAGCTTTTTCACACAGTATCTTCTCCAGCATCAGAAACAAATCAAGTTTCACTCATGCCATGGCATTTAAGTCTTTATCAACGTAGGTCTAAAATTTACCACTAAATCAGAACTCATTGCTTACTCACAATTAACACTGGTTCATCACAGCTAGGACTTAAATCAACACCCAAGTGTCTCTCAGGAGTTAATGACTCAGGATCCAATGACCCTGGGGAGCTCATTACCTGAACCCCACCCCAGACTAAACTCTGCCCTTCAGTGCATTTTCTCATCATCAAAACCATCCAACAGAGATCAGAACAAGTGACGGTTAGCCTTGGTTACCTCTTCCCAATGTCAAATTTCCACCAAGTGAACTTCCGACTCTGTTTTAGAACATGTCCAGAATATGCTACACAAAGTTGTAAAATTGAGTGATGGGAAAGTACATTCTTCCTGATGCATACATATAAAAATAGAATTTCCAAAGTGCTATCAATCACAGATAAATATGGTCATGCTGCAAAATCCAAACAGATCACATATGAACATGCCCACATACCACATGTCAAAGTTTCTGCTTATTATATACATTTCAGTTTCTCTTTAGAAGATGACTCAAAGACTTTCTAAAAACTAGTTAATATTTAATGAAGAAATGTACATTCTTCCTATATAAGAAAGGATGTCAACATAAACCTTTGATTTTAAGGCCTTTGTAAGATTCTACCACTACGAAAGTCCTTTAACTGTTCAAGAAACAAAATATCCAGAGCCATTTTTAAATCAACATCATACCCAATTGCTCACTAAATTACAGAAACAATTGTTTACCTTAAGAAAAGGAATAAGGTGATAATTGCAATCTATGTTAAGTCAAGTCTTTATGCTATTTACCTTAAATTTATTTAGTGCTGTATGTTCATTATATATCAATAAAATGGGGGGGGAGGGAGGACAAAATCATGTGTGATATTATGATTATGTTCTAAGCCTGTACATTTTTATCTACCATATAACTGGTGTGGGAGTTGGGGGTATAAACAGGGATGCTGCTAACCACCTCACAGTGCACAGGACAGCTCCCACAATGTCAGTCATACCAAGTTTAAGAGACCCTCTGGCACATCAATATTCAAATATAGAAAGAAATTACAATGTGGAGCCTGCTATCAGATGCAAAAATCCCTCTTGTTTTAAATATTAGAAAGCAACCCAATACAGGGGGACCTAGTTTTATGAAAATTAAGGAAAATGTTCCATAAACCAGTGCTCAAAAGGTCTTGGGCAATTAGAACTCTTAGATAAACACAATATCCATGGGTAGGTCTGCAGGGTTGTGACAAGCAAACCTGTAATAACACAAAACTGTGGAGAGATGTTGGGGTGGGGAGATCAGAGCACAGAGATTTCAGGAGAAGACATGTTGAGGCCTACTGCCAGAGAAAGGGAGGAAAAATAAAAGCACACAAAATCCATGTCTCTTCATAGTTAGCCGACTTCCAAAAGCTGGATAAGAGCCAGGAAACAGTTGTATCATATATTTTCAAAGTATTGGGCGTTAACAGCTGAAGCCTTAGAATCTGTATACCCAGACAAGCTATCATCAAGAGTAAGGATGAACAAACACTAAAAGAATTTCACTGCTGGTCCTACCAAGGTCATCAAATCCGTGGGACCCAACAATGGTGCGTATATAATTAAGACAGTGAAATTGTATATGAGGAAACTCTGTCAGCCTTATCACTGGACATCTTAGTCTCTTGATGTAATTAATTCATCTACATTAATTTGTTCTGTTTTGTCCAAAATGTAATAGAAGTTTAAAAAATCACAGTTATCTTTGATATGTATGCCACCTCAGGGGCTGTCACACTGTGTAGCTTACTTAGAAAATAGTTTATCTGAATAGGACCTTTTGGAAGTGGTTTTAAATTTGGGGGCTAAGAAGAAAATCTGTTCAGATTCTATAGAACACAATTTATGAGAACAAAGGACAAGGAATCCATGGAAAAAAATTTGTGAAGTGTCTTTGACTGAACAGTCATCACTCTTTTCTTGCCTTAGATAGTATTTGATTCAGGCCAATATTTTGCAATTATTGGCCAGTAGTTATAAAAGATGCCAATTCTTTCCACCAAAATAAGAACTTCAACTACTAGTATAAGTTTCTATTAATTGCATTTATGTTTTTTATGATTAGAACAGTATGCGGGTTGGCAGAAAATAGTGCTTGGATTTCCTGAAGCTATTGGATCACTATTCTAACCATTTTAAGGAAATTTAGAATATATATACACACACACTCATACATACATATTGGAATTTTGACTGACCTCTTAGACATTTTCCATACTCTGAGGACAGTATTACTACATTCTTCTCCAAATAGCTCATATTACATTATGAGGATAAATGACTATAGCAAAGATAAATTCCAGAACAATCTCGCAATCTATAAACTTCCTAAAACAAATTACCCTACCTGCTTCAGATCCTCATGCCCATTTTAATAACTTCACATTTAAATATAATTCCATCAAAACTCAGCAAATGAACCACTCTGTATAGTGTTTGCCTGTTTTATCCATTCACATAAGTGTAAATACTTACCCCATGTTCCTTAGCAGCTGTGGCCACTTTAAGGAGAATATCTTCCTCCACAAAAGGTCTCACAGCATCATGGATAATCACTACTTCTGGCTTAGACAGCTTGGAGTCTGGGTGATCCTCGGCCAGAGCTTTTAGACCATTGAATATGGACCTGTGGCGGGTCACTCCAGCTTCGACTAGTGAGATGCGCTTATGCTGGTACTTCTGAATAATATCTTTCATTGCTTCCATGTTCTCTCTAGTTACTGACACGACAATGTCCTTTATCCAACATACTCTAAAAGGAAAGTACATACACATTTTATATAGATTGATTTGGATCAACAACTAAAGTTAAGCTAATAACAGAAAATTAATTTTATTAAGTACTAGTATATCTTTATAGAAAGATTAAAAACTGAAAGTTAACCAGTTTATGAATTTTTATCAAATCTAGTAAAAAGATTAAAAAATAAAACATCAGTGACTATGCCACACTATACAGAAACATTCAGATGTAAACATAGTATTTCACAATATAGAGTGTGAAATTATCTATAGAGTGAAAATAGGTATGATATATAGATATAGTATAGCTTTCGACTTAAAGCTTAAAATTTAAATATTTACAATGTTAATCAGTAGAGAAAAAAGAACATAACTAGAATATGCTTTTAAATTGATTTTCCCTTCAAAGCACTTTTGAACTCCAAAAGCTGTCTCTTTCTTCCAGAAAAATTCACTGAACTGACAACAAAGGTGGATACCTAACTCAAACTTTGCTGATATGAGAGTGAAATATTGTAGCTTAAATGAGGAAACTATAATAAATTAATATAAAGCCAGCTTAAATAAAATGGAAAAAAACTCATAATTCAGTAAAATATAAAATTTTTTAAAAAGAAAATCTGTTGAGTCAGATACAAAATATAAAACTTTTTTTTTCCTTTTGTAAAACATTTTCTCAAAAAAGAGCCACTGACATACATTGAGTGGTGGCCACGTTAAAGAAGTTTGGCAGACTTATCTTGAACACCAGTGCTGACAGAGGGTAATGCCATTTTAGACATAAGGCTCCACAGCCCACAGGCCTACACCTGGAAAACGCCCTCTGAACATCAACTTTGAATGAAGGCCACTTTAAAATGTAATGGAATCCCTAGTTTATGAGAGTCTATATGTTCAAGTCAAACACGGCTTTAAAGAGATGGAAGAGGGGTCTTAAAAGTACTAAGTAGTGAAATTAACTCTCCACTTCATTGGAAAAATAATGAATGAACAACAATGGATTGCTTTATTCAATAATTGTCAATCTCCTACTGTCTGTTATTGAACAAATCCTTTGCATAATCCAAAACTCCATTATGCCTGGGGCTACAAGAATAGTACACTGACGAACAGAACCAAGAGTTACTCAACAGGCACGCTGTCTTTTCATTTTAAATCCATTCCTTTAACAAATATTTACTGAGCACCAAGTAAATTATCAGCATGGAATATACGCTGGAAATAGTCACTGCCTTCACAAAGCTTACTGGTGAAACAAATAAGTACACCAATAAACAATTGCAAGTTGTGATCAAGTGCTATGAAAGAGCAGTCCAGACTCCAGGACTATGTACAATACAAGTAGAATATTTAATAAGCAGAGAAAAGTTCAAGATGCAGATGAGACAGACTAAAGTCATTTATTCATTCAACAAATAACTGAATACCTCCTAGGTATAAAGTGGAAAACCCTTTAAGAAGAGTTTGCTCTACCATCTAAGCTGAGAGTGGCAGGAAAACAAGCAAAGGGATTTGGGGAGAGGGGGAGAAGGTTGGTGTGAGCAGAGGCCACATCAGGGACCAGGAAAAGCTGGGAAGAAATGGAGTTCTATAAGCAAGCGGGTGCGGGGGGTAGGGGGGAGTGCTTGATGTGGATGGAGGCTCAGGAAAGCGCAAGGCTGGGGAGGCCATGGGAACGTCCCAGGCCAAGGTAGGGGTTTAAGTCTTTAATCCTAAAAGTATTAGGAACCCACAGAAAAGCTTAATTCATAAGAAGACATGTATGCAAATAAATAAACTAACAAACAAACTCATTTACACCAATGTTCTAGACACTGTTCTATGACATGATGGAAGCAGAATGGCCCCTGAAAGATGTCCATCTCCTAGCTCCCCAAACCTGCAAGTATGTAACCTTACACACCAAAGCAATGATGCATATGTGATTAAGGGTCTTGAGATGGAAAGATCATCCTGGACTATCTTGGTGGGTGCAATATAATCACGAGTCCTTATACATGAAAGAGCAAGGCAGGTGAATCAAAGAAGGAGGTGTGATCACAGAGTGATTCAGGACCACAAGTAGAATCTAGAAAACGCCAAATAAATGGGTTGTCCCTAGAGCATCCAGAAGAAACACAGCACCATCAGTACCTTTATTTTAGCCAACTGGGACTGACTTGGGGCGTCTGACCTCCAGAGGTGTAAGATAAATTTCTATTGCTTTAAGTCACTTGGTTCATGGAAATATTTTACAGAAGCAGTAGGAAACTAATTTAGCAGCATAAATTTTACTCTGGCTGCAAGATGAAAAATAGATTGAGTAGACAGAGAAAGAATGCAGACAGGTAGGAGGCTACTGCTAAAGTCTGGGCAAGCGATGATGGTAGTCTGGCTACTAGATGGAGCTTCTAAATGGGAATTAAGAGGTAAATTAGAGGTAATCTACATTTGCCAATAACATTGGCAATATAAATCAATTATTATATAATGTAAATAATAATAGTTAACATAAATTAAGTCCTATATACTAAACATTATTAATATTCTAACTCTCATGTAATCCTATACTGTCTCTCATAATCTGGGAAACAAATCAAATATCTGATACCTAATTTTCCTATACTATCAACTAATGCCAAAAATAAAAATAAAATACTTGGATAAAAATATGTTTTTATCATTTTTCATCAAGATAATACAACATGCCATCCTTTAGAATGTAGGTTCTATGATAGCAGGAACAATCTGTTTTGTTCATTGCTTTACACTTTATACCTAGGAGGTATCAATTATTTGTTGAATGAATGACTTTAGTCTATCTCATCTACCAGGAGCAGTGCAACATCTTACAACATTGCATAGTTTCAAAGATTATGAGAATACAGGAAGTTCTCTTCATTAACCTGGTTTGCTATAAAAATCAAGAATAAAGACAGCCTTCCCTGTGCAATGTGGTTTTGTGGATTGTTTTGTTATGAGATGTTTTACTCTTTAATTCCTAGATCCTATGTCTCCAAGAAGGCCAAATTACTTACATATGTAAATAATTTGAGGGAATTAACTCACAAATAACAAAGAACAAAATATATGGCAATCTGTGCAGGCAATAAAAGGGATTTTGGAATAAGCTAAATATGGGTGCTCTTTGTTTTTTAGCCCACCCATCCTCCACTCCTTTTATTGCAAATTTAACAATTGCTATAAACTTACACTACACTGACATGGTTGAGTTATGCTGTACTTAACAAAGCCCTTAGCAAATAACAGTGAACAGTTCCTCAGTGTCCCCAAAATATGGGGTTTCCCAAGATTCTGTCTGCCCTGGCACAGCTCTCCCATAACGTATTACACCAACCTCTTTGCTGGTCTCCTTCTCATTTTACCTCAACAACAACCATCCTCGCCGGTTCTAGATGGTTTTCAAGTGCAAACCTGAGGCCAATCCCTCCAGGCTCTTGAGCAGGGACCTTCAATTCCTAACCTCAGCCTACTTCTTCCTGCACCACTGGATCTCTCCATATCCCTTACTCTACTGACCACATTCTCTCTCACACCGATCACATGCTTGTGCTGCTTCCTTTGCCTCTCAACACTACCCTCTGACCCTGTCACCCCCCTATCCCCACCCACCCTAGGCTGAGTCCTACTCTCTTCAGCTGTCAGTGCGGATATGGCCTCCTCCAGGAAGATGTCCCTGTTATTCTGGGAAGAGCACTGCTTCCAGAGGGCTCTTATCACTAGGGAGTCTTACCAAGCATCATACTGTCTTCTGTTTCCTTTTCTCTATCCCTGCTCCCTCATAGAAAGAAAAGACTACACCCCAGGGCCTGGAACCTACTAAACTTTCAGTAACATTAATAGTAGAAACAGCAACTAAGATGTACTGATTGCCTGCTAGGTGCCAGGTCCTGGAGCATTTGCCTGCAATATCCTGTAATATCTCAATACTCATATCAGCTCTATGAGAGAAGTTACTATATAATTTCCATTTTACAGTGATCTGTCTAGGGTCACATAGTTAGGATTGAAGGGACCTGGGTGAATCCAGTTTGATCTTGGAACTCACACTGTTAGCCTCCATAAACGCAATAACGCTGTCTCTGAGAAAGAGGCCATAAAATTCTAGAGAGGTAATATTGTGTCTGAATTATTGTGTCTCCAGCACTTCATTTATGTTATTAGTGTTGAACCATATAACACTGCTGCATTTGTGGTAAAACAAAAAACAAATATCTTATAATTCAAGCAAAAGTAGGTATTCCTTCACCCATGTGTTCTTTTAGTCACTCAACAACGCCAAGCATCTAGCATTTGCCAGTCACTATACTAGACACTGGTGATATAATAGTGAACAAATCCTGACAGAATTCCTGACCTTGCAGGTCATATGTCAATAAACATCTGTTCAATGAATCAAAGAATAAAGATAAAGCGTAAACAATTACAAAGGGATAAAAACTGCTCTTAAGTTTATTTATAGAAAAGAATTTCTAAAAGTAAAAAATATATTTCAGTTGTCTATTAATACAACATCACACTAAGCTTTTTTTTAAGATAGAGAAATTATAAAAACATGCCCAATTAAATCATTGGGCAGGGTTGTTTTATTAGGCAAGAGCTTAACTTGTACCCTAAGTTATTCATTTCTGTTGCTTTTCATATGATAGTCTACCAGAAAAAAATAGGTTAAAAGCAACTTTTAAAGAGATAATAATGCTTTTTTTTAAATCAAAAATTAAGTTGAATTAAATGTTCATATATAGAACAATTACGAGAGAGAAAGATGATGGGACACTTCAAGACATCGAACAGTCATTCAAATATCTGTTCATGAATTAATGAACTCCCAAAGGTAAATCCCAATTTTACCAGAATGCCTTAAAGTAGCTATAAAATAATCATCTATGGTCCATCAAACAAAAAGCAAACTAGATGGATGTAAATAATTACCAACAGATAAACTGGCTTTAGGTTACCATATTTCACACAATTGTACAAAGTTCTAAAATAGAAAAGTGTGTTAAACCA